GTACCGTAGCGCAGATATGGAACGTTTTCTGAAGCAGGAAGGTATACAGCAGCAATTCACGACAGCATACACGCCACAGCAGAACGGAGTCGCTGAGCGCAAGAACCGTTCGCTGGTAGAGATGGCGCGGTGTATGGTCATAGAATCTGGATTACACTATCGGTACTGGGCCGAGGCGGTCAGTACAGCCAATTGCTTGCAGAACATGTTGCCTACGAAGCCGGTACAGGAGACGCCCTTCGAGATTTGGTATGGTTCGAAGCCGGACATGAGCTTGCTGCAGGTGTTCGGCACAGAGGCGTACGTTTTCATCCCGAAGGAGAAGCGAACGAAGTTGCAGCCGAAGGCAACGAAAATGACTTTCGTTGGATACTCCCATCAGCATAAAGCGTGGCGTTTTATTGACTTGAAGACTCACAAAATTGTTTTCAGTCGAGACGCTCGTTTCTTGAAGTCGAATGAGGATGTCCAGGATGTCATCGAGGACGAATTGCTTCAGTTACCCCCGTTGCAAGTAAGGCCGAATAGCGGTGAGGAACTGGAAGAGTCGGATGATTCCGATACTGAATCCGAAGTGTCGGGTGAAGAATCGGATGAAGACAGTGACGAAGTTTTTCGTGGCTTTGAAGAAGAATCTTGCGAAGAAACGATGCGTGGCCTTGAAGATCGGAGTCTCTACGAAGATGCTAATGGTAGTGAAGTGTTCCGCCAGGATGATGAATCTATCTCTGTCCAGGAGGAGTCGGCTCGCTTCCAGGGGGAGCAATTCGTAGAAACACCTCGTCGTTCTGGAAGGTTAACCAAAGGTGTTCCACCTGAGCGTTACTTGGCAGATGGCAAGATGGTTCAGTGTCGACAGGAAGAACCTCGCACCTATCAAGAAGCAGTAAATGGTCTTGAATGTGACCGTTGGAAGGCTGCCATGGATGATGAGCTGAAGTCTCTGAGCGAGAATGGAGCCTGGGAGTTGACAACATTGCCATCAGGAAGCAAGGTAATCGGATGCCGTTGGATCTACAAGAAGAAACAGGATGAGCAAGGTGAAATCATACGGTATAAAGCAAGGTTAGTTGCACAGGGTTTTACTCAGCGGTATGGTCTTGACTACGACGAAGTTTTTGCTCCGGTCGTAAAGCAGGTGACGCTTCGTACACTTCTAACCGTCGCTGGACGTGACAGAATGCAGGTTAGGCACGTTGACGTGAAGACTGCATATTTGAATGGTGATCTGGAGGAGACTATTTACATGCGAGTACCACCCGGACTGCGCGTTGGAAGTAACACAGTTTGTCGGTTGCGTAAGAGTCTACTTTGAGGCAATCAACAAGAGTTTGGAACCAAAAGCTGAATGATGTTCTGAAGCGACTTGGATTCAAACAGGCAGACGCTGACCCGTGTCTGTACGTACGGAAGAGGAACGGCAGCACAGTGTACATCCTGGTGTACGTGGATGATATGTTGATCGTTACATCCAACAACGAAGAATACGATGGAGTTGTGAAAGCCTTGGAGAACAAGTTCCAGATCACAAAACTTGGTGACGTGAAGTATTTTTTGGGTATAAGAGTGACAAAGCATGTCAACGCCTACTGCTTGGACCAGAAATCTTATATCGACAAGCAGTGATGGAAAAGTTCGCGAAAACTCACTATGACTCACGAACTTTTCTCTTGGTGAACTTCGTGAAATATCGTGAACTTTTCCTACACTGTCGACAAGTTGGTTGCGCAGTTTGGACTTGCGGAAGCTAAGGGATCACGGATTCCAATGGACGTCGGATATTTACAGCAAAAGGAGGAGAATGACAGGCTTCCGAACAATGAGAAGTTTCAGAGTCTCGTCGGAGGTTTGCTGTATCTATCGGTGAATACTCGGCCGAATATTGCTATCAGTACATCGATTCTTGGAAGGCAGGTGAGCAAACCAACGAATGCGGATTGTACGGAAGCAAAAAGGGTGTTGCGATACCTGAAAGCGACAAGTGATTTGAAGCTGAGACTGGGTTCCAGTGTTGAAAAACTTCAAGGGTATGCGGACGCCGATTGGGCCGGAAATGTGAAAGACCGGAAGTCGAATTCGGGCTATCTATTCCGATTGGCTGGTGGTTCGATTTCATGGTGTGCTAGAAAGCAAGCATGTGTGGCACTTTCATCGACCGAAGCGGAGTATATCTCGTTGGCTGAAAGCTGTCAGGAGTTGCTGTGGCTTGTAAAGCTAATGAAGGACTTCGGGGAACCTGTGCAGAAACCGGTGCAGATCTTCGAAGACAACCAAAGCTGCATAAAAATGTTGGACCAGAACGCAGGACTGAAACGTTCAAAGCACGTGGATACCATATTTCATTTTGTGCAGGATTTGGCGGAGAAACAGAACATAAGTGTAACTTATTGCCCTTCAGCGGATATGTTGGCGGATATTTTCACAAAGCCGTTGAACCGGGTAAAGTTGGAGGATATACGCGAGAGGATTGGTCTTCAATCTCTGCGCAATGAGGAGGAGTGATGGCAGCACTGCGCCATTCAGCAACGCGCGTTCATTCAGTCAGTGTAAAAGCAACTGAACAACCATTCATTGTCGTGCAAGCGGATGAATAAAAAACCTCACTTGAGTTTGTTGTCTTGACCAGTAAAGACGTGTTTTATTTACTCTTCTACTTTACAGTTAACAAAATGGTCTCGCTCGGACCAAATCCATAGTTCCCGGCTCAAGGTTGATCATAACCGCTCGTGAGACGTACTTTCCTCCGGTCACGGGAGTCGATTTTGGAGAATCACTGGCGGGACTTGATTGAGATTCACGGTTGTGGTTTGTAAAAATTGGATTGCATTGTGGCAACATCAATAACAAATTTTGACACATGCACACTGCGCAGGCGCAAAAAAGTTCATTGTTGCCAGTAACTTTAAAGATCATAAAAATTGTAACCATGGGTGCCAAACAGCGCCAATGACTGCGCCCGAATGTGCCCAAGTTTGATTTTGGCACACTGTGTAGAGTAACCAACTGATCTAACATGAAGCTTTAGTGTGATAATTTATTAGCCAAAGAATGAAGATGGTAGGTAAATAGTTCCGTTAGAGTACGGCAGTATAAAAATTGAATATAAGTTGAAAATGAGCGAAGGGCCATTAATGCGACAGTACAAAGTCAAACGCACATTTCTTTGCCTAACCTGTACGATGTACGCGGAGATTTGATGCACAGACAAACAGACATAACACATTGAATATTTATCAATGTAAACATCGTCGCTAAAACATTATCGCCATCTGTTGAGTACACTGTGGTGGGCAGTACGCTGAACAAATGGCGGTAGTGTGTAAACGTCAAACGCAAGGGAATTGACTATACGCGTTACAGGTGGCGTTACTACCAACTACGATACTTTTAAATCGACCGTTAAATGCTTGTTCGATCAACAGCTTACGAGTGTTATGTCTGTTTGTCTGTGTTTAAAGTATGTCTTCAAATCTACAGGCAAAAAAGTGTGCGCTTGGACTTGCTCATATAGTCTGCGGCTGTGGAATAGATCTAGCGACGTTTCAGTCGTACTCTAACGGACTATCTACACAGCAAAAAAATGCAATATAGATCAACGTAATTCAAGCTGATGTATGAAACAATGATGTAATAGCAAAAAGCAGATACATTATTACATCAATGGACATAATTTTGTTCGCAAAATCGATGTACATCGTACACCGTAATATAACATAACCGGTGGAATGATCTCTGTGCAGCGGTTTGGATGTAATATTCAACATTTTTTTTGTTTTTCTGTGTACCTACCCTCTTCTAAGACCATTCTCTAGCTAATAAATTATCACACTAAAGCATCATGTTAGATAGCATTTCCAATCAACTCTGAAAATGTTGTATTTGTTTTAAGGTATCCAGATGTTATTGAAACTCCTAGAAATTCTAGATAGAGCGGGAAGCTTGAATTAAGGCGTAACAGTTTTTGTAAACAATGATTTCTCTCGATGATTTCTCGAAAGTCATTGCTTTCCCTGACAAATCGACATTACCATTGAAGTAGGGGAAGACTTCACCAGATGTATATGTTGGTTTGTGTAGGTGTGACAAGAGAAGTCATTGAAGATTTTACGCCCTAATTCCAGCTCTATATTGAATTACTTCAGCCTAAAACCGAAGATGTTCAAAGCATGGGACGAGGTATGGGAAGTTTTCTACAGCCGCGAAATACTTACAAGCATAAATGTAGATATTTAAAGGAGCCCAAACTGACAGCAGAACATTAAGCGGATCTTGCGACATACGAAGCGATGGAGAAAAAAGAAGATTGGAAGAGAAGAAAAATAGATTGATGAAAAAATCAAGATAATCGCATTGAAAAAAATATTAGTCCCTAGACATCGACTTCTGATGACATCGACGATAGAGCTCAGCATACGAGAACCAGTTGTGAGGCCACCAAGCACGAAAGTTCTTTGATAAATATATTTATTTGCTTCCCAGCAACTACTGGGCGCTCATTGTACCAATTATGTTAAACCAACGACTGTAAATAGCCATAGTTTCACGCTACCAACTCGCTCTTCAAATTTCTCCACATCGATTGGGCTGTAGAGTCACGTGTTAAAATTATCAACCGTAAAATTCATCGTCCATGAGTATTTATGTCAAAAGTATTGTTCAACAACCGCATTCTTGCCACTGCTTGCTCCATTCATAGCTACTGTTGTTTTGACTATCTCATAGCGAATTAAATCACATTATTCGGTCATTTTTTAGCTCGGCAAACAATAACAGCATCCCGCTAACAACCAGCGCCACAATGATCCTTCGAATCAATTCACCCCAATTCACCAATCCATCCATTCGAATCTAACACGATAGTCTGCAGAACTTAATACTCGCCAAACCTATGCTTTCTATTTGTTTTCAAAAATAAAGAGCCTGTTTCTGTTTTTAAGACAAGCATCGGTTGAAACACTTTCGGTACCGCAATGTTGACGTAATCCCACATTTGCTTCTAGACGCTGATCCACGAGGGTGGTCTCATACCCAAGCACCTGTACAAATCGGAATCCGTTGAGGAATGCAACGGCGTACCGCACGTCCATGAGCACCATGGGTTGTACAAATCGGTCGATCTCAAGCCGGGGCAAATGTTCGAGCTGATCATCAAAAACAACGATCCCAAGTCGGTGTTGACGTGGGACATTGATGTGCTGAAGAACGATATCCTATTTGCGCTGTACCGGACCGATAAGGAGTTGGAGCAAAGTTTCAATGGTAGGTTTCTGTGTGGTTCGGGTCGGGTGTGATGAGTCATTCTAATAATGCGTTACAGATTCGTTCTCATCCGTGTTTGACAACTCCGAGCTGAAAGAAGGTGTTCACTACACTAGACTTGAAGAGAAGGTCCGGTGTAAACCGAAGGAGGGCGTACAAGTAAGTACCGCATAATAAACTTCCTAACTACTCAATATTAAAAACGGTTATTTCGTATAGGGTTCCCACGAAATGGCCACCGCCGGAACCTATGTGTTGCAGTGGATGTGTCCGCCATCCTGCGATGGTCCAGCTCAATTGATGTATTTCCACGAGATTCTTAGCTCCGCCAATTACAAGGGCTCAATGACTAGTCTACAGTCGGGGTTCTCCTCCAACAGTCTGCAATCTCGATGAGATGAAACAGATGAGACTGATTCGCTGCCCCACGCCACTAGGGGGTATCACTAGCAAAAGCAAATCTCATTCTCATTATCTCGAACCAGCAGAATCTCTCTTGATGGTAAAACGACGAACATTTCACTAGGTGACACGTGCAAAGTTGCATTTGATTTGACAAATTATTGCAATTTCAAAGGTTGTAAAGTAAGTAACGATAAGCAAACAGTCGCAAAACGAAGAATCTTTTAACGGTATGCTTGATGGATGCGCAAATGGTGGAAGGGTGGATTGTCCTGCATGAAGTAACCAAATCCGATTCACATCAACTACGGTAAATGCAGTAGAAACAGTAGGTCAACGGTGATTAGCAAATTCATGTCCTTGCGGACCTAGACATAAGACAATATCAGACAGCAGTAAAGTGCAGAAATCTACATGTAAAAGCAGATTATGGTCTTAGATTCTACCTTGCAACACAAATATACTTAGCTTGAAAATCATTTTATACAATAGACACAACTTATTGATGTTGCACGAAATCAGATGCTTAAATGAACAAAGCCATTTTTCTACCCGGTTTTAACCAAACCAAATCATAGTGAGTTTATATTGTATACAAAGAAAGAAAGAACAAATCTCAGCTATTCAAACAAACAGAAATCAGTGTGAACCCCTATTTTAGAAACAATTTGTCCCCTAAGCAAAACTCTGTACATAACAGTAAATGTACGGCTTTATGTGTAGGAAGCGCGCAGCTACCAGACAAGCATCAATCTATTATACCTCACATCTATCAACTTCACCGCCAAGTAGAACGAACTTATGACCACTCTTTCGAATATACTGCAACTTTTCCAATGTTCTTTAGGTACAGTTTACATTTATACCATTTCCGTATGATCACTACTTAGTATGGTTATAACGTTTCATTTGATTAGTATCATGTGTATCACGGGTAGGAGAGTAATAGTAATTATATAAAAGTGTTAAAGTAAATTCTCTGTGATAACTTTAATAAAAGATTTTTGTTCTGAAACGGAATTGCAAAGTCGACGAAATGTGAAACATCAGAAGCAGTATACGCTCCCATTCTTATAATTGTGTTTGTCTATAGAGTTAACCATGAGTTCTTTTTCATGACTATGTTTCAAAAACATTTTTTTTTTCTAATTCTCTATATCTCAGTTACATAACGATCATGTCCAGTCAATACAGCAAACAGATTCCAACCAATGAATATACGTATAGAAATAGAGAAATCATAACCTCCTTCGAACAGTAAACACAATATTGTAAAATGGAATAGATTATATCCATATATATTTTTGGAACAACTCAGATACAAAACAAGTACATAATCAACCGTTTTATCCGAAAGGCAGATGCCTTTTAATATAAGTGCTTAAATCATATTATACTGGTGAGTTCAAGTCAAGTTCTTGCGTTTCTAATCAGGTACGATTGTTTTTATCAAGTTGAGCGCTGCTGAAAAATTACAAAGTTAATTTCCCTCTAGGTTTAGTAAAAAAAAAAAAAACAAAACAAAATCGTACTTTATTGTTGGGATTGAGCATCATTATTATATATTATAGTTGTGCGTTACATTCAGCAAAACAAAAAACGAACCTGCAAATTTTGATTAAAAGTAGAAGTAACAAAAATGTTAATTATGGCAAGCGAAAACCGATACCGAGATGATGCTGCGCAGATCACCCATTCAGAGAAGTGAATCACAGAAAATGCGGTTTGGTGACCGTTGGGAATGTCAATCGGTAAATAAATTATTATTATTAACTGGTACAAAGGTTTGTGGGTTATTGCGTTACGAAAGAAATGCCCTTATTTTTGCAGCTTTGGCAATTGAATGACATTTGCCGAAAAGGAGTTTTAGAAATTAAACTAAGAATCAGAGGTGTAACTCACAATCACATTCTTCGCAAATAAGGTTTTAGTTGGGAATGTGCTTGCATTTGCCATGGTGGCGCCACTGAAGCGTTAAGCAAGCCACTACATTTAAAACTTATCTGTGATGCCAGTTCTCAGGTCAATTTAGCAGATGTCAGCTCGAATGATAAGGGAACCAAGATATCCCACTGGAGACATATACGGTAATGACCCGATTTTGTCAGTCCCCTTTTGCACCAAATTATACCTTAAACACTCATCTTGAAGATCCATGAGGAATGATTTGGAATTACGATTTTATGAAATTATTTAATGATAAAAGTCTGATGCCCCTCCGCCGACAAAATCGGGTCATTACTGTACCACATACTAATCTGACGAATACAGAAAAAAGTTTTTGAATATTACACCCAAACAGTTGATTGGTCATTCCGCTTGTTGTGTACTTTAACGCTGGGTGATGTACACAGAATTTGTGAACAAATAATTTTAAAAAGTGTAATAGGGTTAAATACCCCATTTTCGGCCTAATAAGCACAACCCGCACTTAGTCTTTCTTAGTCTAGCGCAGTTTAGCACCAAACGGAATGTTATTATTACTGATGGCTTCCAAATTTATTTACTTTTCCGTATGTACCGTAAGATTTGATAAAGAGAAACCAATCGTTGAGATATTGTCAAAAGTCTAACACTGCTTCTTGACGCCAAACTCGGCCTAACGCATTGAAACAGAATTCACTTCGGCCTATCGGATGAAGATAAAAATGGATTCGGTCGGAGCGCTTCTTTTGTTTTTCGGAATAATCGGTGCAAACTTTTATATCACGCGTTCTCATTGACTTCGTTACATAGCTTATTAACTAAAGTATCGTACCAACCGCATAATTGACTTGTTAACTCTGAAATCATGGATTTATTTGAAGTTTTCTGCTCGATATGCCCAACATGGGCGATTAGGCCGAAGTAGTTCTCTACCCTATTGTATCCACTTTTAGTAAACGGGCGCGATAATTTGATTTGCAAAGGTTTGTGCTGACGTTTCTCCCCTGTTGCTTAGGAGCTTGGTGTGCTCACGCTTTCCCTGTGTTGCCGGCAGTGATGGAAAAGTTCGCAAAAAATCACTACACTCAAAAAATTCCACACGCCATCATCATGTGTCTCACACTTAATTTTGCGCTTATTGTGAAACACATCCATTTCATGTGTGAATCTTATGCTATGAACTATGCCTGGATTTGAATTGTGACACACTTGGATTCTATGTGTCTCATATGGTGATATCAATAGCTTTGCACACCATAGTTCAATGTTCTACTTTATCGACTTCTACTTTACCGACTCTAAAAATTGAAACGACAAATATATAATCAAAACTGCCAGAGGCCAGAGCTTTCACATATCTTTTTAATGGGTCTGATTTGGGATTCGATCATGGACTGTTGGGGTGTGCTGCTGCCGGAGTCTTCGTTCTATCTCACTGTGCCAGGGTTGTTCTCATATATGAGGCGGGTTAATAGGATAAAGTCACAACTCTTGTTTTCGATGTTTACCTTTCTGAGCAAGCAATTCACATCGTATTGAAATGCAAAACACTTTAAATGCATGTGTTTTGAACAGTAGCGTGATTCAATGTGCAATACACTTGAATAGAAAGTGAAATTTTTTCAACATTTCAAAGTTTGAAACACTCTAAATTAACGTGTATAACACATCGAACCAAGGTGAAATACATTTAAAGTAAATGTGATTCTGCATTTAAAAAATCAAGTGTTTAAACACTTCGATCAAACGTGTGAAATTTTTTGAGTGTATGATTCACGATTTTTTCCCTTGGTTAACTTCGTGAAATATCGCGAACTTTTCCAACGTTGGAGGCGAACCAGCCCCAGGCTGAAAGCCTCCCTAATAAAGATAAATCAATCAATCAACTTTTCCAACACTGGTTGCCGGTGTGACTCGACAGCACTGATCTATTGTTAGGTTTTTGCTATGTGTATTGGAGATGACGGCGACTCTGTAGCTCTTTACGCTTATGAGAAAATCCATAAGCATCCGAGGCTGAGCGTGAAACATGGCGGACTTTGTACTATCCTTTCACTCCACCGAAAATGCCCATAAGAAACTGTCTATATTTGCTGGAAGAGCAAATTTTTCGACGGTGCCGTCAACGCCAATTAGGTTCTTTAATTTTAAAAAATATATCGGTTTTTATATATAATCTGAAAGAGCTTCGTTTTCTGAGCACAGCGATATTTTTTTCGAACCCACACACTTTCATCTCGATTTTTAAATCAAGATTTAAAGCAAAATAATAACTTCACTGTTTGACACTAAACTGACAAACTGACAGCTCGCTCCCATATAAAGTGACACCGAGGGGCGCTAATAAGGTGATTTTTGCAAATGTAATCGTACTTATTTAAAAAAATTCCAGTGTACCAAAATTAATGAAATTTTGGGTTTGGGTTCCATTTTTAATGCAGATTACGAATATGCATTTACCTCAATACCCTTAAAGAACCCAATTGCTTTTGTACACAGAGTGATTTGAAAAAGAAAAGTTACAGGGTAAATGGCTCTAATGTTGACCTATGGATCTAAGATTGGGCCCATCGCTAAAAATCTACTATTTATCAATTTTATCTGGATGAACGCGTCATTGGGACGGTTCTAGTGGACATTTTTGGTCGCTATTGAAAATTTTAGTCGATTGCTGAATTTATGTATGGGTCCAAATTAGGGGCATTAAGGCCGACATTACATCCATTTCCCCTATCTTGTTATTGTGAGGTTGAAATCGCTGGAGGAGGAATTGGGTTCTTTAATTTTGAAAAATATATCGGTTTTTATATATCATCTGAAAGAGCTTCGTTTTCTGAGCACAGCTATATTTTTTTCAACCCCACGCACTTTCATCTCGATTTTTAAATCATGATTTAAAGCAAAATAGTAATTTCACTGTTTGACACTAAACTGACAAACTGACAGCTCGCTCATAGAGGTAACTCTAAGACTAGAAGGTCCCGAAATAACGTGCTCAACTTTTTGGCTCCGCTCTGGTACTCTCTTCGGTCCCAAGCTAATCGATTCACCCCTCGAAACATAGGAAAAACCAATAACCCCTCATTTTATCTATCAAACTTTCATAGCGAATCAAAACAAACATTGCGTAGTACTAGAATTTCGACTAGAATAGGGTACGTTAATCGTTTGCTTGGGACCAATAGGCTACTAAAGTGGTGAGCCAATTTGAAATCGTTAGTTTCGTATTGATTGTTGGCTCGCTCCCATACAAAGTGACACCGAGGGGCGCTAATTAGGTGATGTTTGCAAATGTAATCGTACTTATTTAAAATAGTTCCAGTGTGCCAAAATTGATGAAATTTTGGGTTTGGGTTCCATTTTTAATGCAGATTACGAATATGCATTTACCTCAATACCCTTAAAGAACCCAATACGAAACTAACGATTTTAAATTGGCTCACTACTTGACTAGCCTATTGGCATAGAGGTAACTAAGACCAAAAGGTCCCGAAGAAACGTGCTCAACTTTTTGGCTCAGCTCTGGTACTCTCTTCGGTCCCAAGCTAATCGATGCACCCCTCGAAACATAGGATAATCCACGAGCCCCTCATTTGATCTGTCAAACTTTCATAGCGAATCAAAACAAACATAGTGTAGTACTAGAATTTCGACTGGAATGGGGTACATTAATCGATTTGCTTGGGACCAATAGGCTTATCAAGTAGTGAGCCAATTTAATATCGTTAGTTTCCACCGGTTGCTATTGGTCCCAAGCAAAAGATTAAAGTATCCCATTCTAGTCGAAATTCTACTACTACACAATGTTTGTTTTGTTTCGCTATGAAAGTTTGACAGATAAAATTAGGGGTTATTGGATTTTCCTATGTTTCGAGGGGTGATTCAAATAGCTTGGGACCGAAGATAGTACCAGAGCTGAGCCAAAAAGCTGAGCACGTTATTTCGGGACCTTCTAGTCTTAGAGTTACCTCTATGATGAAAGTGCGTGGGGTTGAAAAAAATATCGCTGTGCTCAGAAAACGAAGCTCTTTCAGATGATATATAAAAACCGATATATTTTTCAAAATTAAAGAACCCAATTGTTAATGACTAGAGAAAAATATGCGTGGAAGCAACGGGACCGCCATCCAATACACACCAATACACCGCCATCTTGCAAAAAGTAAATTTTAATTTCGTTCGCGTTCTAAAACGTCAGAAAAGTAACCGTTGCGTGTTTTTTTCGGTCGATTAGTGAGCAGCGATGGACGGCAATCGTTTTTCGTTGCAAAAGTTGAGCAACAGCAATTATCCGACCTGGCGCTTTAAGGTCGAGTTGCTACTTGTGCATGAGGAGCTCTGGCGCTACGTAGAGCCGGGAGTGAAGCCGGAAGCGGTAGCACAAGCGATTTGGGATGCAGGAGATGCCAAGGCAAGGACCACCATCGGGCTTCTGATCGAAGATAATCAGCACGGACTGATTCGATCATCGCAGACGGCCAATGCTGCCTGGGTCTCGCTGCAAAACCACCACCAAAAGACCAGCCTGACGTCGAAAGTGTCGCTGCTTAAGCGAATTTGTGACAAGCGGTTCGCAGAAGGCGAAGACATGGCGGAACATCTGTTCGAGATGGAAGAGTTGTTTACCCGTTTAGCCAACGCTGGACAGGAACTCGCAGAGAACCTCATGGTCGCGATGATTTTGAGGAGCCTGCCCATTTCGTTCGACACGCTCACGACCGCGCTCGAAAGTCGGTCGGACGATGACCTCACACTCGAGTTGGTCAAGCGGAAGCTGCTGGACGACGCAGCAAAACGGCAGGGTGCTGTCTCAAGTTTGGCGGTGAAGG